TATTAAATGTGTTTTAAACTATTCTTTCGTTCCTTTATGATGAGGTAAATTTTTTTTCTTTCTTCTTTATATGTATGTAGAATCTGAACGTTCTTAGTTTTTCAATATACTTGAAGATTTTAGATTTTAGAATATGCTAATTTAGTGAGTATATGAGAGGTATATATATGAAAATGTACTTTCTTTTAATGTTAGAATGTGGGAAGAAACCTCAGAATTGTAAACGAAACGGCTAATGTGTTTTTCTATAGCAAAATTATTTAAAGAAAATGAACTCTCAATATCAAGCTTTATAAATTATACGCTAAGAAGAAATAAACCGAATGTATGGCTAATGTCCGCTTAGTTTAGGTTTTCAATTTGTGTATAAAATTTGCAAATAATTTAAAAAGGATTTAACAAATACAAATACTATAATGGGATATGCCCCACCATAGCCTTGTATCCTATACCACTTCGACTTTTCAAAATTGCGTGATGTATGGGAAGTGGGCGAAAGAGATGTCCGATCGAAACGATTTTCAATATCATTTGTCCTTGAGCTAAAATATTGATTAGTGTGCCAAATTTCATTAACATATCTCAAAAATGTAGGATGAACTCAAGCAAACAAGATGGAGAGACGGACAGATAAGATTAGATTGCTTCAGAATGTGTAACAAAAGGTGGGTATATCTTAAGTTCATCTGTGTTGTGCTTACATATCCTCAAGCTTAATACGCCCACAGGTGGTGTACGATATAACAATGAAAAATTTTGAAATGTTCGCATAACCTTTCGAAAGCGTTTATAATTTGGAGAAAGGTATATATCTGCTATTGATTTTACCTTGACTTTTGTTTAATGTATTCGGGAAATTGATGTGGTAGGTGTTCTTTGAGATTTGAGTATTTCTTGAGTATTACATATGTAAGCAATGAGTAATGACGTAAAAAAAAAATTTAATCCAAATATTGCAACGTCCCTCTCGATATCGGGATCTGTCTAATTGCATATGCTATACAGCCTTGTAAAGTACTTTATAACCAGTCTAAACCCATCGTGCTGCCTCATTGCTCAAAAGAAGTGACAGTTTTAATTTCATAACTTTTCATATTATCAAGGAATATGACTAACATGCATTACTTTCATTTAACGCAGAAATGGTATCGACCGACCGCATTTAACATAACGACTTACTATATTCAGCTGTGTAATTAAGGTGACCGTTATTTAAGTTTCGTCTCAAAATTAATATATTTTTCTTTGTATTATTATTTTTCTTCAAAATTTGTGATATACGTGTGAAGAACTCATTTTAACCAGACTTTCTTTTTTTTTTCGATGTATTTAAGAAAAGAGGATTTTTCGTTGTTGCAACAGATAATTTGAGAAACAACTTTTGCTAGGCAAAGTAAGAAATACAAGATCATTGATAATATTTATAAATTTTAAAGTGGCTTTCTTTGGACATCTTTTTTTCATTTCATTCATGTAATGCTTCAGAGTTTATATCAAGGTATGTTATGTAGTTCATTTGTCTGAATGTAGATATATTTCAGCAAAAGTTTTTTGGTTATTTGCTGGTATTGTGTGTGTGTGTGTGTGCGTGAGTGAATGAAATTTGTTAATTTATATATTATATATGTATATAGTTATAGAAAATGCGTAAGTAAGAAAATGTGCAAATGTGACAATGGGTAAGTTTATATACGTAGGTACGTATGCATGTATGTATGTATGTATGTATGGATGTTATGTGCATATTAAATTGATATGTTAGCATCAATATTAGTATTCATGAAACTACTTTTCTTATGCGAGGATAGAGTGCCTATTCCAACGAACATATCTGTTTATATTTATAGCTAAACAGAGACAGCTTATATGCATACGTGTGTGTTATTTCAAAACATCATTAATAGAGAAACATGAAATGATAAAAATAATCACGATGACTGTATTGAATTAATGGCAGGAAGGAAGAAAATACCTACATGTCGTTTAATAGGCAAGTAAGGTCAGTCTATATGTAAAAATTCGAAAAAGATTAAAATTAATAACAAATAACAAATATTGATAATAATAAATAATAAAACAAAAAAGAAAAAAGATTGGAAAAGTTCTATATCAGATTTTTTTAGAGCTAATCACAACTACTTAGAAATTTATCGAAAATTTTCATTACTCTTCCATAATGAAATTTTTATTTCGACGTGTAATAGTAATACCATAAACCACTTGTGGTAAACTTTATAGCAATATTGTACGGACGCAAACACCCATACAAGATATAAGATATTTGCACTTTTTATTACACCGACCGATTCGGAATAAATTGCTAAATCGACTTAAGGCTTTTTATTTGCCTGTCTGCCGTCTACCCATTTATTTTTGCACTCAGTCTGAAGTGTCTCTTAGATCGACTATTTTCATGATTACTCACCATTTTTGAAGAAATCGATGCGCTGATTAAGTAACAATATTTTTTCACGCTAAAGTGATGTGAAAAATTTGGATTGGATGGGCCATCACTTTAAAACCTACGGTAACAGTTTGGCATAAACATTAACTGTAGTATATTTTTAATCACATAGATCAAGCGATCTTGTCTCATATAAGGATTCTTATGAAAGGTGACCCATTATGTGGGAAGAGAATTCCATTTTCAATATTTTATGGCGTAAATAGATCAAAGGATTTTTGATTAGAAGATATAATTTTGCTTTTTAACCATTAAAAAGGAAAAAAAAGTTAACAATCGTTTCAGAAGAAGTGGTGTAGGGTATTTAGTTGTCGGTTCTCCCCGACAATGATCTCTCTTTTTCTCATTTTTCTTCTGTCTTCATTAGTTTTATTATAAGTATAAATACAATCAATTATTTTATTTTATATTATTTAGTTTTTTTTCTTTTTCGTTTTATGTATTGAGCAATTCTTCCTATACTTCTTTTAACATTATTGTTCAATATAAAATGCATTTGTTTAACATAATAATTGTTTGTGGGTGTGCTTTTGTATGTAGGTGTATTCGTATATATTCCCTATATACACATAAATGTACGTACGTAAAAATTTCAAAGATCTATGTGTGCATGAACTGATTCTTTCTTTATGAAATTATATGCGAATACATTTTTTTTATTCATTTTTTGTTTTGGAAATAGTCTGCAAGAGAGAAATGTATGTTTATTTAAAATTAATAGTCAATCATCAACAGATTCATTTTTTTTTTACATTTAAGTTGCTTTTAATATTTTTTTGTTATTATTGGGTGTGGTGTTTTTGTTGTTTTTTCTCTTTGAAAAATAATTGGCTATCTTTAGTATTTTAATAGTTAAAATGAACTGATATTTCAAATCTAAATATAACTTTTTTTTCATTGAATTCGTATATTAGCCAAAGCAATATTTATTGCTTTAAGAATTATGCTTTTGTACAAAAATACTCTTGTTTTAATATATATATATATAAACATGTTGTTTATAACTAAAATGCACATGTAACCCTCCGCACCGATATAAATTTGCGCTCGGCAAAAACGTTAACTTAAGTCGGTAGTATATATGCATGTATGTATGTATGTATGTATGTATGTATGTATGTATATATATATATATATATGTATATATGCATGCTTTTATATTTCACTGTACCGACACACATTTGCGTTTGAATGCGATGGACACAACATTGTTTTTTTTTCTTACTGAAATACGGGGCGTATGAGATAAATGTAAATTTTTTCAACAGCTCATGTTCATTTTACATAGTACTCTTGCATGTGATAAGCTTATAGTTTATAAATTTTAGACAAGATTCGGTTTAAATTTTCATTTTCCTCCTTTTCATATTCATGAATTTCGATTACTTTTATATCCACCAACGATAAATCGCCATATAGAAATTTTGCATTGCTTTGTCATAATAAATATCACAACGAGAATAAACTGATTGAATCGGCATTCCATTCAGAATAGATGGATTTACGTCCGTTCATTCACTTGCAATGAAACGCTTATGTTTAGAAAATAGTTTAAAACAAAGCGCACTCCTCCATTAGAAAAGGTCGTGATTATTAGAGAAATGAAAACCTCAAGCACAATATAAATAAGTTGTAAAAAATGCTGAAAACAGTTTAACAAACTTGCAAGTTCTTTTATTTATTATGTTCAGAGGGCGCGTGCACACACAAGCTATTCGCCCAAAAACGAAAACATAACCATCGTTTGTGGATATAAGTAAAAAATTTTATTATGCATACGCGGATGTTGAAAAATGTTTTTAATGGCGAACTGTTATTATAAATGATACAAGATCGAAAGACACATAAGTAAGCGCAAACATGTTATGACGTTTTAAATTAAAATAAATAAATAAATAAATAAATAAATAAAATTTATATCTTTTTTCCCCATTGTCCATGCCGTCTAATGCTTTTTCAATCTAAACGTGTAATTGCATTAACTAATCATAAAAACTTCTTTTTGCAATTTTTAGGAAAACAAACAGAAATTTTAAAGATTTCTTAAGAAGGCAAAGTAAACTTTTTCTTTTAAATGTTGACAAACTTTTAAAATTTGATTGACCAAGATTTAGAAGACGTTATTGAAAAGACCCTTGATCTCTTAAAAAATTTCAAAAATTTTCATAAATTTTCGGAAAAATATTGCACAATTTCTCAGAAGTGTACTTTTACTCAACACAGTGAATCATCTGTTGTTGATTTGATGACCCGCAGAAGAAGATGAAGAAGAATTGTGTTTGAAAAAGATTCCAATAATTAAATACTGCATTTTTAGATTCAGTTTTTATTTTCATACCACGCGTATACGCAAGGAATATGAAAACTATATACCACTGACCAATGTTGTGGTGCGTGGAATCGTTCCTAGGCGCTTTGGAGTTTCCCAAAGATACAGGTACGCGTTGTCCAAATTACATATCAATAGAATTTCTTACCATCAATTAATTACATTTTTTTTTTGCAAAATGTCGGTAGATTGTTTTCTTCATTTTATTAAGAAGCAGTTTTTATAAAAAAATTTAAAAATTATTCGAAATTTTTAATTCTTTCTTGTAATTACCTTAATAACATTGTTCCTTACAGGAGTTTTTAAATTTCTGGAGTTCTTCTTCCAACATTAAACTATGTGGTTCACTTCGTACGCTTTGGTCTGCGAGATGTTTTGCTATTTGGCATTGTTGACAATGCCTTTGCAAAAATTTCATGGACAAATGGAATGTATATCGGTGCCGGGTACAACGCCTTTACATTTTGAATTCCATAATTTTATTGGGATTTAGAAATTGTTCACGTTGAGTAGCATCCAGTTGAGCTACTGTTCTTGACAAAGACGAGTTATTAACACTACTATCACCAATTCCGCAACCACCACCACTACCACCAACCCCGCTACTACCAGTTCCTATAGCTATTTTATGCTTATTCTTATTATCTTGCGGCTGATAAATTTCGGCTGTGCTAATCACACCTACATTCACTCCGGCTACTACAGGCTGCTGTTGGTAGCCAGCATATTGAGGAGGATATTGATGATGTGTAGAGTATTGATGTTGATGGTGCGTTTTATGAATACCGTGTTGCTGTTGTTGTTGTTGTTGTTGTTGTTGTTGTTGTGTTGCTTGCAGTGGTTGTTGTTTGTGTTGATGCACACCGTGAGCCGGTGCTGTAGAATATACATGCTCTGCAGTACATTGTATCGTTGTAGTACTGCTGGATAGCGTGTGATGAGATCGGTGCGGTTGTTCTGAATGTACAGTAGGATATTGTTGCTGATGAGAATAGTCAGCACTACTACCGCCCCCCAAACGGGCACACGAATCATCATTCAGTCCATCTCCCATTTCACCGTCACATCGATTCGAGCTACGTATGCAAAGCTTTGTGAAAAGCCATACACGTGCTCGATACATTAAAAAACAGGTAAAATGAATTATAAATACAAAGATAATGGAACAAACCGTCGTTATAATGGCTTTTCCTGGTTTAGTCCAATCCATTGTTGGATAGATGGCAACTTGATTTTTGCTAAACACGAATTTAAATAAAAACACGTAAGTGTAGAGCAATTAAAACTATAAACTAGTATTTTCAACTTACCGGTCAGTGCCACCTGCCAAAAAATATATGCCTGAGAATATACCATACGCCAAGCCAATGCCACATGTAAAATAAACATGGCTCAGTTTAATTGGATGCCCCACGATGGCCAGATCGATAAGCATTATAACCGAATTTAAGACATGAACCATTATATTTAATGTGTCAATTTTATGCACTTCTGCAAACATAAAAATTAACCGAAACTCGTTGTACAATTTTGCGTTGAAACAAATACATTAGCAACCAATATGCACATAGGTAACGTGTGCATAACTACAATAATAAACGTTCTTGATAGAAACAAGATAAGAGAAGTCACCAGAAAAAAATATAAAACTATACCAAGGAAAGTCCCTGCAAAGTGACTTTAAACTTATTTGTTTTCTCATACATACAATGAATTTGTACTTATCAAGAATATCAAAATGAAGTGTTAGTGAGAGAGAAAGAGAAATACTGAAGAAATTAAAGATTCCCGAAATTAATTTGAAAACATATTACTATAAACTGAAAAATATTGCCTTTGACTATTTTTCGAAAGATTCATGCTCGCTGATACCAATATTTCGCGATGTTGTTGTCACAATATTATGAAATATTCATTGTTTTGCGATTATCGTTTTAAGGTGACTTCCATCTCCACTTCAGGCATTTTGTCAAATATTATTAAACGATTCTTTGAAGTATTGTGCTACAACGACGGAGTGCAGAGAAATTTGGTTTTCTTTTTCTTTGCATTCTTTTTCAATCAAGACTGAAGCGATTAAAACATGCCCGAGCGTCAAATCGTTTCACATCTTTGTATTACGCTAACGTGTGCATTGCATGAAATTTAAGGAGTTCAGGAGTGCTAAAACCAAGTCCAGAATGGGTACATATAATCTTAAATTCGCTAACTTGTAATAGTTGCACAAAGCTAAAATACTTAAAACAATTAGACGACCATATGAGTATAGGTATCAGGCATGATAGAAGTAAAATATTTAAGTGAAAAAAGAGCGCATGTGCGAAAGATTACAAAAGGAGTGAATTATATTCCCATTAAAACACACGTATATTCAAATGCGTACGGGTAAAATGAGCCCCTGGATTTGGGCGGACAGCGTCAGGGTAGAAAAGTGAAGATGTGCTCTTGTAAAACGATAAACTAAACCGCACCATATCCCAAGTTCTCTCCTTTACAGTGTGTGTATTCCATAATTAATGTCTGCCTCTTAGTTTCTCACTTTTGAAATCACCGGTGTGGTGACATCAGTCATTCCTAGTCGAATCAAACCTCTTTGCTTTGCTGTTAAATTTTGTAAATGAGAAAGCAACTCCATTTAACTATAAAGAAAGCACGCCTGCTTGTTCAACCTGAAATGAGGCGAATGTCGTCGTTGATGTCTGATATTTAAACACTTGTTAAATAATAATACGTGAGATTTTCTGTGGTTTAACTTATGTATATTATAGCCCATCGGACAAATGTACTGCTGGTAAATTATTTGAATTTGAATACATTTTATTTTTGCTTTAGATTTTCAAAAGTTTTGATAAAGTTCTAGTTATTAGAATATTTACGTTCTCTTGGACAGTAGCGTACTGCGATATCTCACAAGTTAACGATGATGCGAGCAATTACTGTGCCTGTGTACTCATGCTGAAGGTGTTATCTACCACTACCACTTAAAAAGAAAGCTTCCAAAGGATTACAATCGCCTATCAAAGTGTACCGTCTGATCTGATATTGCGCAGACAAAATGAATTGAGAATGTATCTAGAATACCTTGTGAACGTGCGACTTGGTTAAATATTGAGGAGTCGACAGGTTAATTATTAGACTACTAATAATAGCTGATTGACAGGGAATTGTTTTTATAAATGCTAGATGCATAGCATGCTTTTCTGAAATATAATGTGAAAATACTTTACCTGGATCATATACCAATCCCCAATACATCGTTGTCACCACAAATGCGTATACCGTGGCGCACGTATACAACACCCAATAGATATGGTGTAAACGTGATTTTTTTGCTCGTCGCATCAATTCGAAATCTTCACGTTCCACCATCATGCCTTGCGTTACGATCCAAGCAGCCAGCCATGCTTGCAACGTACAAAATAATAATGCCCAGTGTGTTAAATAAATCCACCATTTAGCATAGTGGTTTTCGAAATGTTCTTCAGTGCGTCCAATATCCAGCAGTGAACAAACAAAGGCAGCCAGACACGTAATAGCTGTAAGCCAACGGTAGAACAAATACACGATACGAACTTGAGTATTGCGCTGCCATTGGCACAAGTAGAAATTATGTCTGTGGACATGTTCGGGCGTAATGTCTGGAAAACATCCCTTCCACAGTTTACTAACCATCATTCTTTTTCGGGCGAAACAATTGAGGTTTCCAGGAATATGACTGAATTCCTCACAACTGCCGTCGTGTCGTGTTCCCAACGAATGTTGATGGCGAAGAAGTGTTGAAGCGCTGGCGGTATTTGATATGGTTGACGTGTTAAATGTATCCAACGACGCCGTCGTCGTCGTCGCCGTTGTATTGTAGTAGAGACGATCGCTCCCTGTAGTGACGCTATTATGTGGTTGGGTTGGTTGTATTGGGGGTTGTAGTGTTTCTGTTGAATATGCAGCTTGTTGTGTCGGCGAGCGTATGGAGTGTTGTGTATGATGATGATGGCTGTGCGTTGTTGACTGCGTATTTGGATTGTGGTGATAGCGTGACGTTAAATGTGATTGCGGATGGTACTGTGTTCCTTCTTGATGTTGTGGCGACGTTTTGAAACTGTGTTGCGGCGACACTGAAGATCGTAAATAGTCTTGATCACGCCGAAGTCGACTCGGTGAGCTAGATACACAATCGGCTGATAATCTTCCGGAAGTCAGTAAGGGTGAACGAATAAATGTGGGATTATGTTGCAAGCTATTGGCACGATTCCGACTACGCACCCGCAGTCGATCACACTCTAAATCACGTTCACGTTCAGAACTTAAAAAACCAAAACCTCTAGTTCTACTATATCTCGGATAATACGGATCTTTATAATAACTGCTTTCACGGCGTGGTCGTCGGTATGCGTATGAATCCGAACGTAGTGAAGCAGCCGGCGACGGCAAGTAATCTATCGGTCTGCTGCAGTACGAGCTAAGATACGGCTCGGTATTAACTTGTAGATCGTCGTCTAATGATGGCAGTAAAGGTAGCGGTGCCGTCGGCAATTTTAACCAACTATTCGATCCGTTTCCTGATCCTGTTCCTGTTGCGGATGTGGCTAATAGTGGTGCCGTATGTGCAGCTGCCGGCGATAACCGTCCTCCGTAATGTGCTGCGCCTGTACCGTTCGGACAATAACTTTCGCCGTAACTCAAACTATAATAACCGTTATAACTACTATTTCCCAGACCGTATTTATAAAAACGATAACTACGTCCGCCGGGCGTATAATTGTAACCCAATTGGCTGCCACTGCCCCCTAGATAGCTACTGTAACTTTTGTTATATGCCGCGTATAATGGATTATAATTGTGTATGTAATTGTAGTTATAGTTGTAATGCGTTGGCGTTGAATATAATAACGAACGTGACGTGGCTGAAATACTGTTATAAAACGGTGGCTCCTGTATTTGTTGTTGTAATAATTGTATTTGCGGTCTGGTGGGGCCACTAATTGGCTCTGGACAAAAATAAAGCTGAGTGTAATCCAATGTGATGAGAATGGTGATTAGTTGTTCAAGTTTGTATGCAGTTTGTTGTTGTATGCCGTAATAATAAGGACTTTTGATGTGTGTTAATGGTTTCGAGCTTTTTTATTGCGAGGAGTAATAGTTTATATAAGTAACACGATTAGAACACTCACACAAATTAATAGATATTATGTACAAACACTTAGTGAAAATTGATGCTTCTGCTATGATTCTTGTAGACGCAATAAATAATCTTTCCAAGTTATTGCAATTAAATCAAAACTCTTCAGCGAAGGACATTTAGGAAATCTGCAAAAATAAATGTTCAATATTTTTTAGTATTTAAAATTACAGTAATTAAATAGTATTTGTTAATTGCGATCCATACAAGCAAGCAGTGCGAATAGTACGCATATAGAAAGAATGCAAGTGGGATTTATATGAAATATTTGTGAAATCAAAAATGTGTTTGATGCGAATGAATTATATATAGTATGTGGATGGAATTTTCCGTAAATGCCACTGTATTTATGCAAGCCATGCTCGGTATTCGAAAAGGGTTTCAGCGTAACACGTTAAGTAGAAAAAACAAATTAAATGAGGTCCAGTTGAAAAATAGCAGATGTTTACAGATGAACAGTAAAAGGGGTGAACATACAAACACTTCAAAAAAACGCAATATTTTATACTTAAAAATTAACTTCAGAGAATACATAGAAATTAATTCGGGCAGTCAAGCCGGTGTAGTCGCGATGGTTTTTATGGACAACTTCAATTCCTTTAGACATAGATTATATTAGCAGTTTGGGATCGTACCGCATTGCCAATTTCCTTGGAAATTGCTCTAAATAACTTGAAAAGATCTGGGTTTGTTAAAATTATCTTGCGATTTTCGAAAGTTTTTTTACTTGCTCGGCTCTCAATACTATTTTGGGGGCTTTCGAGCATACGTATGTGCATGTATGTATTTGTATGTTTTCCCATGTTTTCAAAACGGATGAACTAATCGTCCTCCTTCTTTGCCATAATTATTTGCTGGATTCATCTCATCTTATTATTACATTTTATTCTCAAAAAATACGACTTGCCTTCAAAATCCATCTTTACAGCAAGATATTACAAAACGCTTTACTCTTCACGGCTTTAAAGTGGATGCATCTATTTCGCTGTCCATCTGGAAAATCTACTAAAGCAATATAAAAGTCCTTAACTTTTTACTGGGAGAGCAATTTCTGTGGTATAGAATGGAAAAACAAACACCTTACCAACTTTTCTGTGCACCTGTGCATGTATTAGGTGCATTAGTATCTACTCATTTGCCGGTAATGTTAAAAAAGCAATCGAATACAAGTGAGTCGACGTGGGTAGCGCACGTTTTTGTCTTTGGTAAAGGCGGGCTATCTTTACACTTGGTTCGCGCTTTTGCTAAGATAGTTGATAATTGAACGATATTTAAAAAATAACAATCGTTTTAATAATATTTTATTAGAAAAACTAACTACAAAACTGAACTAAAAAATACACACATAAATAAAAAACGAAATCATGCCTTGTGTTATCAACAATTTCACGAAAATTCATTGTTACAATTTGCAATACAAAATACATTATAAAAGATTTTAAAGAACTAATGCAACTCCAGATACTGACATGTCTTAAAAGATGCGGTGCCCTTTCAGAATAACCTAATTTCATTGCTATATTCGGCATTTATCATCGTCACCTTTGTAGCTTTTTCATATATATTTTTGCTGCTACATTAAAGCGCTCCTTATAATATCTGAAAAGTGTACAAAAAACAAAATAAAAAAAAAAGTAGTGGTAAAGCTAAGGGTTGCTGACTGATTTCAGAGTCCTTTAAGACATATCCAAAAACTGGATTCGCATAATGCCTCTTAAGTTGTTGTAACTCGATTTGAACATTGCACTCTTTCACTGCACTGCAACTGTGTATAACAGTGAATAGCAATAACTCACTTTTTTGATTTTATTAATATTACTACTTAAAACCTTAATGTGTTTTTTGTGTGCACGCTATCTTAAATCTTTCGATTTTAATGCTGACTTCCTCGGGTTTTACTTCTTATTTCGCGGTAACTCAACGAAGATATTTTCAGCAAGGGCACTAACCTACGAAATGTGGACTATGATGGTGGGTTATCTTCGCAACCACTACATAGAAACCAGTACTTAAATACCCTTTTCCACTTATCGCTTAAAACAGTTATTCATATAACGATTTTTGAAAATAATGCGTAATGAGGAAAGGGGGTGGAAAAATGGACCTATTCACTTAATATGAATAGCATTTATCATACCTTTGATAAAAATATTTCTAGAATTGCGACCTTTGGGCTGAACAGAAGAATGACAAGTTAAGATCGATTCATAAGGTGATTTTGTGAACTTTGGAGAATTGAAGAACTTATAAAAATTTTGGACGATCCATATCATACATGGACATATTAGTAGTTGGTTTCCGGGGTTTGTTATAAAGTTTTAAATTTGTTAAAATTTTTCCGTGTTTGGGGTAGCTCTTGAACGGTATCTATTCTTTTAGTTTGCTTGTTCAATACTATACTCTTTCACATTGGAACTTGTGCTGAACATGCTTTCAAATATGCTTAGGGGGGATGGCTAAGACGGTTTTATTCAGCTGTGACCGAATTTTTTATATGCACTTTATTGTTTATGTTAAAAATTAGCCGTGGCGGAGGTGATTTTTTCTAGTTTTGTAGAGGAGACGTGGAAATATCATGTGTCTCTGGCGGTTTATGAGAGTAACAAGCCGATTTGGATCGTTTTGGATGTCAACCTACTTGCAGAAACTTTAACGAAGCCGCCATTTTGATCTTTGTCGCAAAGATTACAAAACGAGGCAGAGGAAAATATGAAGAATCAGTCAGACGGACAGCCGTAATGAATTCTGAATTTGATAATGGTCAAGAATATATATGCTTTATATATAAGTTATGAGTCCTCGGCAGTTTCTTTCTTTCTTTCTCTCTTGCCAAACGTCTCGATAAAGTGAATGTTCCTCTTTTCTTCGGTAATGGATGTGGAAACGAACAAAAACTTTCAAATAATTCGTGTTTAAACACTTTTAACAGATAAAAACACAAGCGGATGTAATGGCTCATAAATAAATATAAATGCTGAAATATTGAAAAGCACGACTATATCCACGAATACATCCAATAACTGAAATGGTTCTTCAACAACAAATGACGTCAAATAATGATTATCACAAATTTATATGAATGCTTGGAAGTGAAAGTGCTGATTCCATGAAGAGGGTAGAAATAATATGCCGTTGTTGTTGCTAGCATCACTGCCAACCTTCAGTGTACACATGTTTTCAAATTTGAACGAAGATATATATATGCAGTTGCTCCTGCTCTCTAACACTACAAATAGGCTTATGAAACTGTGAACATAAATGAAAGTAACGAAATGACCATGAGCAATAGCAGCATCAACAAAGTTTGCATATGCCCAACACAACTGTTAATGCAGCGCTATCAGCGCCAACACTTGATTTGACTTTGAGTTAACTGAAAGACTTTAATAGGATATTGGTTAGCCTAATATGGCCAGGTTAGTTTTGTTAAGCAAAATTGCTTCAAATGCCGAAAAAAGGGTCAACATGAATTCAGTGTAAAGAAGAAATTTGAGCAACTGCCGGCTTATTCATAACTATAGAAAAATTTCATAGACAGAGATTCTGACACTTACAGATGTTGCTGAATACTTAAGCTCGGTTTAATCTAAAGGGAATGTTGTATGTACATATTTAGAGAAATCTCTGCTGTCCATTACTTAAGCAACCATTGTAAAGTGTTGGTAAAGAACTTTGATTAAAAGCTTGATTAGGACCATGCATGTGCTATATTTTCAGATATAGAGCATTTAACGAATCCGTAGATAATGCGCAAACGCAAAATCCACTGAAATTGTAGCTTTGTAATGCCTTACAAGTGATTAATGGACCTGGTTATGATTCGTATTCAAAACGAACTATGCGCACACCTAAAGAAAAAACGAACCACTTGAAGCTTAAATGCAAAAGTTACTTTTTCATTATATACGAATTTTATTTAATTATTTTATTTAACTGAGATTATTTATATGGGAAAGTGATATTAGGCGTGCGACTTAAACTAAACATCAATTGCACAATAATTTTTTGTGTCACATTTCACTTTGATCTTTTCTTCGGGCTTACTGTTTTTTTAATTATTGCATAATTTTTTGTTGTTAAGTCATGCAAAGCCATTTCAACTTGTTTTGTTTTGTGTCTATGACATACAATTAATACGAAAGGCTAGATAAAAACTTCAACAAATTCTCTTCGTTTATCTTTGTTCATTTTTGCACAAAAAAGTTAAACTATTGCTTTGTAGATTTAAATAATGCTCTTTGACAAGGTGCCCGCTTTAAAAAAATATATGTATGTATACGGAAAAGATAAATATTTCAGTTTATGAAAGAAATTGCTCGTTAAAACCTTTACCTTATCTTCACGTTGTTAAACGGGTGTATTCGCACGACACGTCGAACAATAAATAAATCCTACATTAGCCATGAGCTGTTAATTCCCTTTAAAATGAACTCCAATTTGCTGATGAAATTACTTTTAATGCAATTAAGAAGGCTGCAAAGGTTCAAGAAGAACTGCGAAACATGGCTTATGTTGTATTTAAGGAACGTGTGTGTAAAAAGGGTGAAACTATGAAATGTCTTGAGAAGTGTCCGCCTCTTTTTACTTTCTATGCATAGGCGAAAAGATTGCGAAGCCTGCAATTGGGCCGACCAGTGAATTGTTTACTATGTTAATTAATCTGTT